TGGTGCCGTTATTACCAGAGTCTGTGTTCCTCCTCCAGCTTCTGATTCTTGACCTGTCCCTGTGGATGAGGTGGCATAGCATGGTGCAGAGGAGCCAACGGAATCTGCAACTGGAGAACTTGGAGGACTTGGGGTCTCCATAGGGCATGGAAGCATGCCATGGTGTGGGTGGAAGCAGGTACCCAGTGTGCACTGGTGGGCCACACAGAGCAGGAGGTGGGGCTGCCAGTGTGGTATGGGGGGCACCCACCACACAGTGCGGAAGGGGGATGGTGCCCACACGGCTCCGTGCCATGCTGTGGCATGCAGCCCAAGCACCAGGCAGCTGGAAGGGTAGGTTGGAGCATGTTCCTGTGGCCGCTAGCCACTCAAAGGTTGGACAGCCCTGTTTTAAACTGTTGTTTTGCTGGGGTAAGCATCGTGTGTATCCAGTATGAATTACAATATACCTGCTCAGGGCTAGAATGCTTCTATATCAGATACTTTGCAATTTCAGTTATGGCTTATGTTTGTGTAACTGCAGCTGTTTTGCTGTTTTTAAAGCTACAGGTAATTCAGTCTCAGCTGGCCAGTTGCTCTGTGGAGGACTCTTTTCTACAGACTCTCTCTCAAATTGGTGTGCTGCTGTGGCCCTGGCCCATGCTTTACAAGAAAATGCAACTCTGAAAGAACAACTGCTAAGAGTTCAGCTTGCAACAAGCATCGGTAACCCACCCGTGTCTCTGCTTCAGCAGTGCACCAACATTCTGTCACAGGTAGCGTGTCAGTTGTTTTGTGTCCTTCACTGACAATAGTCTGTTCACTTGAGAAGAATATTTAGTTCGATATTGATGGTTCCAAAAAAAAAAAAAGTTTAATGTTTTCAGCACAAGTGAAAAGGGGCTTCTGTTTCTCCTGGTGATGCTAATCTAGTGACCCTGAAAATTATTTTTGCAGTAAAAAAGAAAAAGTTAGCAGAACTGACCTACCAGGAATTGCTGTTAGAAGTTGCCATCCACTAACATAACTCAGACTCCTGTAATTTGAAGTGATAGTATTTTAATCTGTTTCTCTACCTTCACTATTATGAATGCAAGATGCTAAAGGAGGCCAATTTTAAAAATAAAACGGGAAAATATTTGGGAAATTGTTACAGTTGTAACAAGAAATGCTTTTTTGCCAAATATAGAGAAACAAGGGAACATGCTTTGTTTCGGTTTACTTAACAATACAGAGTGTTGTCACATGATTTGCTTCTGTTGGGTCTTTAACTTCTTTTCTGTTAGTGCATAGAAGGTCTGACAGGCAGATGTAGCACCTGAATCTGTTTTTAGTCGGCTTTCTAAAGACAGTTCTTCAGGTTAATAGTAACTGTTTATATGATAGTGCCACTTAAAAAGGATGTAGTAAGAATACAGTATGTAGACTCAGGTCTGCAAAATTAAAGTATTTTCCTCTTCTCATGTTTTCCAAAGTCTGTCTGAACTGACAGGTTTTACCTCATTATTACTATTCAACCTTTCCGTACCCATCTTCAGTAAAACACATGGTCATACCATTTCTTTTTGCCCTTGGTTTCTGTTTGTTCATATGCTGTCCCTGTTTGTTCAGTCTTTCAAGAAAAAATAACCTTTGAAGTATGGGGAAGGTAATTTCTCAGTGTAATTAGGCTAGCCTACAAAAAGAATTGTAGCTAAATGCAACTTGTCTATGTTGGCCTGACTGTTTGAGTACTACCTGTTCTGAAAATGAACCAAAATATCATAAAGTTGCCCTTTCCTCCTCAGCCTTTGAGAGACAGTAATAATTTTAATATAATTTCCAGTAAGTCTTCAGTTTTACGTTCTGCTAGAATCTTAAGGTAGTTTTGAGATTTATTTCTGAAATTTTTTTCTGCAAACAAATCATAAGTAATAAGTTTGAATCTTTTAATGTATAATTTACAGGGTGATAAGATCGACAGACGGGTATGTATTTCTTGTCATGAGCAGGGCCTTTTTCTGTTGTCTTGGGTTTTGCTGATTTTTTTGTTTGTTTGTTTGTTTTTAACTGCTTTTTGAAGTGTTTCCATGTTTCAGGCAATTTTTATTTCTAGCATAACAAGCTCTCTCCATACGTTTCCATGGGAATCTTCAGCGGTGTTCTTGGGACCTGTGGGATGAGGGTCTTGGGTGACATGGGTGCTTTCTTTCCATTGGGTGCACTGCACATTCAACAGCTGCTCTGTAACTTCCTAGAGTACATTAAAACATTTTTATTCTGTTTCGGAGATTTGGCCACCAAATCGGGCTGAATCTCCATCGAATCGAATCAGCGACTGAAGCTTCGTACAGCCCTACTAGGCAAGTCATTTAACCAAGCTTTACATGTTTGGTGCTTAATTAAGCATTCCTCATTTTCTGAAGTCTCAAGTGGAGATGTTGAGAGTCTGGCCTGCAGAAAATCTGAGTTTAAAATTAGGGGTACACCGATAGAGATTTTGAGGGCCAATACCAAAAGCCGATATTTAAGGAGGCACATTGGCCGATACCAATCTGATATCCTATACAGGTGCCTCCAGGTAGTAAGTCAGGTGTGGTGGACGGGGCATGGGGGGTGCAAATCAGCGCCCCCAGTGGTGAGGGCTGGGGCAGGGGCAGGCACTGCACAGGCGGGGTTTGGGGATGGGACATGGGATGGAGGTGCAGCTCATGGGGTGGGGGCAGCTCCCACTGCTGGTATGCATCCCGGGAAGGTAGGGGGGACACGTGCCCCTGGATTTGTGCAGTGCGGGGTGGGCAGCAGTTGCAGGGTGCAGCCGGTGCTGCGTGGGGCTTTTTTTGCCTGGGGCTGTGCCCTGAGTGTGCTAGTGGTGCTGGGAGGAGGCTTTGGCCCCCCAAACTTTGCCACAGCTCCGGTTTTCCTGGTGCTTGGGTGGCTTTTCCCAGTGCTTGGGCGGAGGTGGAGGATTCAGCCAGGGCTGGGCTGGGTGGCAGCGCAGGACTGGGAGTGGAACTGTGGCAAAATTTGGGGTGGCTGAAGTTTCCTCCCAGCACTGCCGGAGCCTGTTCCAGAGCCTGCTGAGCCCCGGCAAGAAAAGCCCCACGCAGCACCGGCTTCGGCATCCATTGTGCAACTGCAGCCTGCCTCATGCCATGCAGATCCAGGGACACGTGCCCCCCTGCCCTCCTGGGGTGCAAGCAGCAGCAAGAGCTGCCCCCACTCCATGAGCTGCACCTCTGTCCCGTGATTCCACACCCCCCCCCCCCAAGAAGCTGGGCAGCTACTGCCCCTGCCTCTTCTATTGCCATGGGGGGCGTTGATCTGCGCCCCCCCACGCCCCTTCTCTCCCCCTTTCCTTCCCGCCTCCCCTTCCAACTTACCAGCTGGAGGCAGCTTTCCATGATGCTGTCTCTGCATGCTGTGCTGCGGCTGCACGCAGCATGGGCATTTATTGGCCCCAGGACATAGACAGTTTTCTTCATATCGGTACTGATCCGATATTGGACTGATGTATTGGTGTACCTTTATTTAAAACTGCAGCTGCTATTTTCTGCACTGGTGCATTGAACATATAAAGGGCTGTGAATGTATTTTGAAAAATCAGGCCTGTGTCAAGCTGGGTACCCAAAAGTTTAGTACTTGGTTATCATTTTATCCTGAGTATTTGCCTCAGTTTTCTATCTGTGAAATGAGGATGAGGTTATCACAAAGGTGAGGGAAAGAAAAAGTAATATTGACAAAACATTCAGATACAAGAAATGCCAGGAAAAATGAGAAATGTTTCAATCTGCTAAGGGTTTGGATTGTGTAAGTTAGGTTAAATAGGACCTGGTGTCAGACAATGAAGGTGGATAATAAAAAATATTGTCCCTTACCTTTTCTCTAAATGAGGTAAGGGTCTTGATCAAAAACTTGTCAGTAGCCTTGTATGCATAACAAGTTATAATGTACTTGTGTAGAAGGCTGATTGAAGATTGTATGGATT